AAGGGTAATTGGCACAGAATAACGAGTTAATATTTCGTATGGAGTAAAGGCACAGTTTCAGAGAGATTATATTAGTAGTTATGGTGGGATTAATCTATCAGGAGTTATTCGTCTTAAGATGTCTATCTAAGGAGTTAATGGGCTCATGGAAGGGAGTTAACATCTTCAGAACTTACTTGGTAAAAGTTTGATACAAAAGAAAATAAGGAATTCATCTCGTTGACGTTTCTCGCTTGAGTTGTTTAAACCAGTAAAGTTTAGTATTTTATTGAGGGTTTTACTTGTAAGGGACATGAATAACGGAGTTGTTTAAGAGGGTATCAAGTATTTTGATTAAATTTGTTTCAGAAAACTTTCTTCAATTAAGAATTTTATTAGCTGGAGATTATTCATTATTTTTAAAGATGTATTTTAGATTTGTTGGAAACGCTAATAATGAATTAGTTATTGTCTTAAGATGTTAGCCACTATCTGAAGATAATTATATCTTTATTTAAATCACTATAGTTAATGGTATTACATCACCACTTAAGGGGTACAGGAATGTCCTGTAAGACTAAAGTACTTTAAATATCTAACTCGGTCCATCAATTTTTACCACCACGCAGTCGTCTTACTGGAGAAAGCCATGTATCGGAGAGGCAACCTTTGCGAAGGTAAGGACCAGGTTCGAACCCTATATGCATGGTTCTCCTGGGTTAATGTCAGTAGAAGAGGCTTCTGGCTTCGACGTCCCACTGGTCTCAGATTCTCAAAGAGTCGTGTTAGATGTCATCTATGGTGCTAGAACACACTAGGATGGCTATGATTGGATGACGTGAATTTCTACCCCAATCGAAAATCTTCGGTGTTGACCAGACCACACACTAGAAGGTGAAGGGACGACGAGGTGAATGGTCGTGGACCATTCTCACAATCGACTTGAGAATGGTCCAGGACGGACCGAAACGTCGTCGTCCCTTCACCTTCTAGTGTGTGGTCTGGTCAACATACTTTAGCCACGTTATTGTGACTCATCGCCTGCACAATCTTCGATTGTGCGGAACGGGAATCGAACCAATGTCCTTTGCAGCCCCCAGACACACGCACCTTAACCCAAGGGTCACGAAATGCTATGAGATCTATAACCCGGGATTCACCCGGGCCCCAGGCTCCTAGTGGATCTAGGTGGATCCTTTAATATATCATGGTTTGTGAGTTAAGGGTGCGCGTCTGTGGACAACCAGGACGCTGGTTCGATTCCTCCCTTTCCTGCCCCAAAGATTTTCCCAAAGATATATCGCCTTACTGTGGTTGCATTGTGTACTTTTGGCCAAGATTTCTGGAGTTATGGAACGGCAGTTACTGCCCAACACACAATGTTGTGATACTGTTAGCTCCTGTGCTGTAGCAAAGGTATAATGTGACAATATGTGTGTGTGTGTGTGTGTGTGTGTGTGTGTCTGTGTGTGTGTGTATGTGTGTGTGTGTGTGTCTGTGTCTGTGTGTGTGTGTGTGTGTGTCTGTGTGTGTGTGTGTTACGTCTTTTTCACGGTCCAAAGATGAGAGTGATTTGACGTTGAGACTTAAGACGTTAACACTTAAGTTCTGGGATTGTTAGAACGCTTTTTAACATGGCCAAGATGGCTGCCAAGATGGCGGTCGAATGTTAGAAGAGGCACTAACCAAAATAGAGAAGATGTAGTGAATGATTAATCTTTGAGAATGTGACACCAGTTTCCCCCCGTGGCCCGAGTTGTCAAGCTGTCGGCAATCTTCCCGGTCGCGTGCTTGACAAACATCAATAAACTTGCACCGCTTGTTTGCCATACAACAGTATCCAATCACCGCTTGCTTAAGTCAAGTCAATCAAGGTATTACCGCCCGTTGCTCACCCATGCATCAGTACACTGCTAAGGTTGCCTAGGAACACACAAAAATACTTGTCAAACACACACACACACACACACACACACACACACACACACACACACACACACACACACACACACACACACACACACACACACACGCAAGATAAAACAAGAACAAGTAATTTTAGATCCAGTGTTCTGTGGTGTTTAGCTTTCTTATATTTAGCATTTCTTAGAATAACCTTGACTTTATTAAAACATTTTATTATCATCATTATTATTATTATTATTATTATTACACAGAAAGCACACTAGGGGTGATGTATGTCAATGAGGAATTCCATCAGGGCTGTGAGGGGGACGCGAACCTGCGACCGAGGCACTGTTAGTCGCATACTCTACCACTGGACCACCGTGGCTTGTACCAGTCACTACAAAAACATTCAGTAGAAATTCGGTTGTATGACTTTTTAATGTCGGCGATGGTCCAGTGGTAGCGTGTGGGGCTTACAATGGCTTGGTCGTAGGTTCGAGTCCACCGCACTGCCCTAGTGGATTTTCTCATTATTATTATGAATATATTATTATTTATTTCTTGCCTTTATGTTTCTGTTCTTTCCTTTATTGCTCTCTTTTTTTTTTTTGCTTGCATGTTTAGCTTTTGTATTGAATTGGTTGATTATTGTTTGTGCTTTGATGCAAATTTTCCAGTTAACGTTTTAAGATTGCTATTGTTGTTGTTGTAGAAAGTCTTAATCTTTCTACAACAACCTGTGTTGTTGTAGAGGTTGTGTTTTGGGTCTGTCTCTTTCGACTGTATTCTGCTAGTTCAAGCGACCGAAAGCGCTCAAGTAAATTATTTATTCATTGCCCCTTCGTGGGTTTTATATATATATATATATATATATATATATATATATATATATATATATATATATATATGTCGTACCTAGTAGCCAGAACTCACTTTTTGGCCTACTATTCAAGGCCCGATTTGCCTAATAAGCCAAGTTTACCTGAATTAATATATTTTTTCTAATTTTTTCTTATGAAATGATAAAGCTACCCATTTCATTATGTATGAGGTAAATTTTTTTTATTGGAGTTAAAATTAACGTAGATATATGACCGAACCTAACCAACCCTACCTAACCTAACCTAACCTATCTTTATAGGTTAGGTTTGGTTAGGTAGCCAAAAAAGTTAGGTTAGGTTAGGTTAGGTAGGTTAGGTAGTCGAAAAACAATTAATTCATGAAAACTTGGCTTATTAGGCAAATCGGGCCTTGCATAGTAGGCTGAGAAGTGCGTTCTGGCTACTAGGTACGACATATATATATATATATATATATATATGTCGTACCTAGTAGCCAGAACTCACTTCTCAGCCTACTATGCAAGGCCCGATTTGCCTAATAAGCCAAGTTTTCCTGAATTAATATATTTTCTCTAATTTTTTTCTTATGAAATGATAAAGCTACCCATTTCATTATGTATGAGGTCAATTTTTTTTATTGGAGTTAAAATTAACGTAGATATGTGACCGAACCTAACCAACCCTACCTAACCTAACCTAACCTATCTTTATAGGTTAGGTTAGGTAGCCGAAAAAGTTAGGTTAGGTTAGGTTAGGTAGGTTAGGTAGTCGAAAAACAATTAATTCATGAAAACTTGGCTTATTAGGCAAATCGGGCTTTGCATAGTAGGCTGAGAAGTGAGTTCTGGCTACTAGGTACGACACATATATATATATATATATATATATATATATATATATATATATATATATATATATATATATATATATATATGCAGAACATTTACTTGTTCTGAATTCAGTTATTTTACATATAAAATTCTATCAAGCTTTGAACACTATTAACATCGATTCAGTAACTCATCTTGGACAATGGACTACTTATATTTAGTCACTATACTAAATTTAGACTAATATACTAAATTTTAGTCTATTACACTGGACTCTTATCCATTTATCTAGCAGGATAGTTCCTGCAATTTATGCAACTTGACTCAATAGAGCTTTGCCACTTCAATTGCGACATTGAAAACCAAAAAATCTTCCAGAAACCTTTGCAACGGCTGCAAGATCCACCTCGACCTACAGATATGCATAAATACTCCCAAAATGGTCATTGCAACAGCTTGCAACGCAACATTAACCCGTGCTCTCGCTTAATAGGCCGTATTTTTTAAGCGAATCGGACCATTCCCTTAAAAATGGAGCCCAATTAGTAAATATTCAAGCGCCGTTATAGTGACGATATCTGCGCCGCAGCCTCGATAGGCTAATTGGGATGCGTAGATTCAAGACCTCTTACCACGCCAACCTACTTTACGCCCCCATTCCCCCCCTCTATCCCCCCCTCCTCATCCATTCCTTCCCTCATCCATCCCCTCCCCTTCCATCCACCCCTCATCCATCCCCTCCCCCTCCATCCACCCCTCATCCATCCCCTCCCCCTCCATCCACCCCTAATCCATCCCCTCCCCCTCCATCCACCCCTCATCCATCCCCTCCCCCTCCATCCACCCCTCATCCATCCCCCCTCCCCCACCCCCCGGAGGCAATAACTCTTCCCATATTAGCTTACTGTAACCCGTTCACCCGTTCCCCCCTCCCCCCCCCCCTCAAGCCTCAATGTTGCAAATGCATATAGAAATGTGTGTGTTGATATGTACATACGAGTGCATGTTGCAAGAATGTCGTTCTTGTAAACATTATTGAATGTGATCGAAAGATTTTGATTGTGGATCTGGAACGAAATCTTTCTTTCTTAGGTGCTTCACTTTGGGAGGGAAGATTAAAAATAACTGCCTAAAGGTATCTGAATAGAGCCGGATCCGGGTCGCTACAAAAGTTCGTTTCGCTGAAGCACTCTTCAACATCTTCAGAGGCAGAGGGAGAGGGAGGGAAAGTATCGGGAGAATGCGCCAAGTTATTACGACTAGATATCACTTGGAAGGGATCGGGATAAGCATTTGGGATGGGACGAGGTGGGGGAAGAAATGGTGCCCAACCACTTGGACGGTCGGGGATTGAACGCCGACCTGCATGACGTTGCTCCAGCCCAATGATTTATAGCCAATTTATATTGCCAACACTCGGTTGGGCGAGACTAGCACATGGAACTAGTCTTACCCAACTTTCCAGGATGAATCATGGGGGGTATGGGAGTGTCGTAGGTCGAGCGAGGGATTGGCCTAAGGTCACACTTTAAGAAATATGGGCGTTTATGGCGACCCCCACGACTTTATGGTATGAACTAAAAGCAGAAGAGAAGAGAAAAGAAGGAAGACAGGTGGAGAGAGGGGGGGAGAGAGAGAGACTCTCTCTCTCTCTCCCTCTTCCTCTCTCTCTCTCTCCCTCTCTCTCATTGCTTTTCACTCTCTCCTTCCAAGAAATATCTGAAGCAACATGAAGATATTGATGAAAAACATGCGGATATGATCTATAGACTCCACCGGTATGAATCATCTCTTGCTTGCAATCTTGACTCAAAAATTGAAAAATATCTGCAACTGTGCTTTTCGATACGATACATTGCACAAACCTCCATGAACCCGGTCTGGGAACGTTACAGGAAGATCTTTTGAAACCGGTCATTCAATCCACGGAGTTTGTTGCATGTTCAAATAATAGATTTATGAGATAGGAATTAGTATTAAAATCAATTTCTGCTCACAAAATGGCTCCTCATCAACTCTGTGCCTTTTATACGTGTCCTTAATATTAAATAAAACACATACGTACGCAAATTACGATAAACTAAACGCCTTGAATATGTTATAAAGTTTTGAATGAAGTCAGATATTAACCTTTCGGATAAATCATTGGAACGCTTACTTATTTCTATAGAAAATTTGCAGCGTTTCCCTTCACCTAATGCACCTGCTCATCTAGGAGTAGATAGGTGCCTGGGGGGGTTTCTGACAGTTCCTGGAGATGGCCAGTAATTGGCGTAGTAGTTTTATATATTTCAAGTGTGTTATTTTGTCTTGGATTAGTCTGGAGTGTGTGTGTGTTTGGGGAGGCTGTTGTGTAAGTGCAAGTATTTATATAGTATTATATATATATTTATATGTATCTTACTCGCTTAGCTGTGTATGAAGAAAGCAAGCTCCAGCTCCTGCGCCCCGTCTCTTGAACACTGTAATTTCCCCTCCTGTTGAATCCAATCTTCCCTAACAATACACAACTTCGCGGTTACGTTATGTGCTGCTGTGTTTCGTGTGTTGTGTCTTCAACTCTCAGACAATACCGTGCGCCTAAGAACTTGAATTGGACGGTAGAGCGACGGTAGATGCTACTTTGTAGGTCGGCGATCGAGGCTCCCCTTAATGGTCGAGTGGTTATAGTCACTATTTCTTCCCTCCTTAATTGCTATATTAGTCTTCCTGGCTTAGTGCCTTCTTTTGGTAATTACTTGCATTCCTTCCCTTCGTCTTATCCCAGCTTCTTGTTCCCATATCCCAGATCCTTGTTCCCATATCCCAGATCCTTGTCCTCATATCCCAGCTCCTTGTCCTCATACCTCCAGCTCCTTGTCCTCATACCCCAGCTCCTTGTCCTCATACCCCCCAGCTCCTTGTCCTCATACCCCCAGCTCCTTGTTCTCATATCCCAGCTCCTTGTTCTCATATCCCAGCTCCTTGTCCTCATATCCCAGCTCCTTGTCCTCATACCTCCAGCTCCTTGTCCTCATACCTCCAGCTCCTTGTCCTCATACCCCAGCTCCTTGTCCTCATACCTCCAGCTCCTTGTCCTCATACCCCAGCTCCTTGTCCTCATACCCCCAGCTCCTTGTCCTCATACCCCAGCTCCTTGTCCTCATACCTCCAGCTCCTTGTCCTCATACCCCAGCTCCTTGTTCTCATACCCCCAGCTCCTTGTCCTCATACCCCCAGCTCCTTGTCCTCATATCCCAGCTCCTTGTCCTCATACCCCCAGCTCCTTGTCCTCATACCCCCAGCTCCTTGTCCTCATATCCCAGCTCCTTGTCCTCATATCCCAGCTCCTTGTCCTCATACCCCAGCTCCTTGTCCTCATACCCCAGCTCCTTGTCCTCATATCCCTTCCAAGTGCCATGCAGTCAAACTGCCATATAGTTCCTTCTCCCAATTACCTAACCTAAACAAGCAACAGAACTTTAAAGAGATCTTTAACAAGAGAGATCTTAATTATCTCTCTTCCCGTTCTGCAGCGACCTTGCTGTGCCTCCGGCTGTGTCGCCAGCGGTGCTCGGGGTCCAGCTTCTGTGCCCCTCACCGCACTTACAAGCAGAGGGAATTGGAGATGCAGATGGTGATCGTCCTCCTCGTTATCACCATCGTCTTCATCATCTCCTGGACGCCTATTGACGTGAGTTTTTGAGTGTTTAGACTTGGTGAAATGTAAATAAACACTTGATGGTGAGATGTAAACAAACGCTTGATGGTGAGATGTAAACACACATTTGATGGTGAGATGTAAACAAACGCTTGATGGCGAGATGTAAACAAACGCTTGATGGTGAGATGTAAACACACATTTGATGGTGAGATGTAAACAAACGCTTGATGGCGTGATGTAAACACACATTTGATGGTGAGATGTAAACAAACATTTGATGGTGAAATGTAAACAAACAAAAATATGATGAGGAAAAAAACTAGTTGAAAAGTAAACATGTATTTTTTTTAACAATTTGGTGTTTTCTTATGATGTTGAGAGAGATATATTTAAGTTCCTTAAATTTTAATTCAATTTTAATAAATTTTAACAAAAGGATGATAATTTTTTTATCGAGACCACTTCCGGAGGTCTTGGTGGACCCCCGGAGGTCTTGGTGGACCCCCGGAGGTCTTGGTGGACCCCCGGGGGTCTTGGTGGACCCCCGGGGGTCTTGGTGAACCCCCGGAGGTCTTGGTGGACCCCCGGAGGTCTTGGTGAACCCCCGGGGGTCTTGGTGGACCCCCGGGGGTCTTGGTGGACCCCCGGGGGTCTTGGTGGACCCCGGGGGTCTTGGTGGACCCCCGGGGGTCTTGGTGGACCCCCGGAGGTCTTGGTGGACCCCCGGGGGTCTTGGTGAACCCCCGGGGGTCTTGGTGGACCCCCGGGGGTCTCAACGGACCCCCTGTGCTCCTCCTTCCTTCCTTCCTTCCTTCCATCAACTACCCATTTCTTCCTGATTTACTTTCCCTCTCTCCTTACCCACCAGCTCCGGCTCTTCCTGAACCAAATCTGGCCACACAAGACTCGCGAGGATCACATTCAGGACATGATTGCCGTGCGTCTCACCTCTATCAATCAGATCGTCGACCCGTGGGCCTACATTATCTGCAGAAAGGTGCGTTCAGGTCTGCTCTGACTACTACGGGCTCACCATAGCCCGTGCTACTTGGAACTTTTTGTTCCAAGTAGCAAACCTTAACAACAACAACATGCTCTGACTGCCTTAGAAGGGTAGAAAACTAGAAAACTAATTTGAGTAAGTTCGAATGAGTTGTTGAAGTTGTAAAGTTGAGAGAGAAAGAGAGAGAGAAAGAGAGAGAGAGAGAGAGGGGGGGGGCTGGGAAGTATCAGTGAAAAGGGATTTTGTGGGAGGTGAGTAATGGGATTTAGCGTATATCAAACCGTTTTATAGGGGGATTAATGTATTTTGAGGATTTTGGCGGTAGTTTCAGGTAGGCCGACGGTTTCAGATTTTTCAGGCCCGATTTTTAATCCTTGATGGTCCGAGTTTATCCAGGTTGTTGTGGATCTTCTGTTAAGTGTTGATAGGGGTCAGGTTTCTATAGATTGTCTTTCATAAATCATTTGAATTATACTTAATAACTCAAGATACTTAATAACACACACACACACACACACACACACACACACACACACACACACACACACACACACACACTAAAACAGATAATTACTACAAGACCTGCTGCATGGGTAACAGCTTCTCAACCAGAGAGCAACTCCATAGTCTCCTAAGACTGCTACATGCCAACTACTGCCACTACAACAATTCACAAACACCAGTCAATTCACTGAACCTCCTGACCTAGACGAGCTTGTGTTGGTGTTCACAGGTGTTCGCTACACGTGCCTGGCGCTGGATGCGACTCTCCTTCATGGGCTCCCGCCTCCTGGCCAGGGACAGCTCCAGCCATCCCGGCGGCTCACACAAGAAACTCTCTAAGACCATCAAACCGCCCGAGAAAATCCAATATAAGACACCATTTAAAGGTAATATTTTACGAGTGAGAGGTTGAAGGTAATCATTAGGACTGAATGGTATAGGCCTATATAGCCCTGGGATATAAGGCCGCAGTTAAGGAGCAGTAGTCAACGTCTTGGACTATCGGTAATCGAACACCAACTCTGCAAGTAGTTAGGCCCATGCTTCTTAGAAAAGTAAGTTGCAGGTAAGTTGCAGGACCATAGATGGAATAACTGAGTAATTAGGTAGTACTTATAGTACTATCGTAGTACGATAAGGACCATCGTACATATATTGACTTAAAAGGCAGTTAGAAAGTAGACATCGGTACTATTGAATGTGGACAAACCAGAAAAGTTTTTGTACTGTTGCAAAGAAAACTTAACTAAACCTTCGTAGGTTTAATACACCCTATCTGAGGCTATCTTTAATACACGCTATCTATAGTACATATATGTACTATACTAGGCCTAGGAATATTTAAGTTTGATTTTTTAGCTTATTTTTTTCTGGACTCTATAAAAGTGAACCAAATTCTACTAATTGTGAATGACGTCTATGTATGTATGATGGTCAAAATAGTTGCATAAATCTAAATAGGAGGAAGGGTTGTGGGAGAGGTGAGTGGAAGAGGTAGGTTAGGTTAGGGTTGTGGGAAAGGTGAGTGGAAGAGATAGGTTAGGTTTGGGTTGTGGGAAAGGTGAGTGGAAGAGGTAGGTTAGGTTTGGGTTGTGGGAAAGATGAGTGGAAGAGGTAGGTTAGGTTAGGTTAGGGTTGTGGGAAAGGTAAGTGGAAGAGGTGGGAGGCGCGGGTCTAGGAAGCATACGTGAGGTGATGCGAGGAATGGTACATCGACACACAGAGATGGAAAAGATAGAGCATTCCCGTGCAGAGATCTGGAAAAGATAGAGCATTCCGTTCAGAGTTAGATGGTTAATACAGTCAGAGGAAGATAAACATAATTAACCCAAAAAGGATTCGAACCCATGCCGTCGAGGATCACCCCTAAACATACCGTGACCACCGCACCAATGACCGTCGTAGACGACCATAGCTCCCCTTCCCTAACATTAAGACTACTTCTCTCTCTCTCTTCTCCCCCAGGAGGAGGAGACAACGGAGTGACACAGGAGAGAGACAACAAGGCCATGGTAGTGGTCGTGGAGGGTGACGCCCTGCTCAACACCGGACCAAGGACACCCATCAAGGACAGCCCGGACACGCCAGGACCAGCCTCCAAGGACGGGCCAGCTAGCGTGGCGGAGGGAGAGCAGGTAGTGGGGGTGACCCTGGACCCCAGCAGTGCCCACAGAACCCCCCACGTAGCCCTCAGTGGGTCGGAGCACACCACGTACGCCACGGCTCTTCAAGGTAAGCTAACAGTGTACGCGTAATCCTGGGGTTTGGGGATCGATCCCCGGCGATGGAGGAAACAAATGGCCAGAGTTTTTTTCACCCCTGATGCCTCCTGTTACCTAGTAGTAAATTGGTACCTGGGAGATAGACAGCTGCTACGGGCTGCTTTCTGGGAGGGGAGGGGGTAAAGTTGATTGATTTTTTGAGAGGCGGGCCGAAAGAGCCGGAGCTCAACCCCCGCAAGCACAATTAGGTGAATACACAGTACCATATTGATATAATATCCAGGAGCAACATCGATGCAACGTTGAATTAACGATAATAACGCTGAATCAACGTCAATTAACGTTGACCCGACGTCGAACCAACGTAACTTGCAGACATGGTGTCCATTGGGCAATTGGCGACGGTTTTTAAAGATTATTGGATTGTAATAACGTAATAATAGACCAAATAACTGCCGTTTTGTTTGTTGGCAAGTTACCCTTCAGAGTACGATAATACGATACGATTATTGGGTGGCGCTGAAGTGTTAATGCACTATTCTGTGCTGTTAGTTCACTGTTAGTTAGGTCTTTTGAGCCCCCCTAAATGTTGGCAGCTTGGGGCTGCCTAGCTCCCTAGAGCTAGGCATCTTCTGAGCTCCCTAGATGTTGGCAGTTTAGGTTCAGGAGATGTGAACCCTTAGATACTGACAATTCAGGGTCAGGTCGTCTGAGAACCCCAGGGCCTAAGTGTTTTATGAGGATCATTCAGTATATAAACTGTAGATTCATTAGCCCCATCCCTTATCACCCCCCTACATGGGACCACTCTAGTGGAGGTCCCCTAATCAGGGACTAGCCCACAGATCAGGAACTGTTAACGGGGACGAATCGGGAGGACGAATGTAGGGACGAATCGTCCCTACTTGGGTCTGGATTTTTGATCAGTTTATTTTCTAACACAAATGTGGCCATGTGTCCAGAATAGTCAGTCTCTATCCGTCCACTCCCCATTCCACCCGTCTCCAGTTCACCAAACCACACACTAGATAGAGAAGAGACGACGACGACGTTTCGGTCCGTCCTGGACCATTCTCACAATCGACGTGAGAATGGTCCAGGACGAACCGAAACATCGTCGTCTCCTCACTTTCTAGTGTGTGGTCTGGTCAACATAATTCAGCCACGTTATTGTGACTCATCGCCTGCACCAGTCTTCTTTTCCTCCTATGTCCACACTCACCCTTCCTGTTGGTAGACTCAGGGGAAAGATATTATAAATATTACATAACGTTAACAGTTACCTCAAGCTTGGTCAGGAATGTACAATTGAGAGTAAAGAAATATTTGGTAATAACATTATTAATAATGACAATAATGACATAAAATTATAATGCTGCTACTAATGAAAATAATTATACTAATACAACTGCTTATAATGATTCTAATAACAATAATAACAGCAGACGAGAAATTAGAAGAACTCAATAAGCGACGATTGGAACGCGGGATTAATTTGCAAACGAACACTTGTGTAACAACGCACCACCATTGATTGCTTCGGCTAACGACCCGGAATATTAAGTGATAATTGCAGATACCAGCAATCTTAATCAATACGATTGAACAGAATAGAAGGAGAAGGGAGGGAGGTGAGAAGAGGTCATAAGATAGGAGGAAGAAGAGAAGGGTGCAATTGAGAGAGAGAGAGAGAGAGAGAGAGAGAGAGAGAGAGAGAGAGAGAGAGAGAGAGAGAGAGAGAGAGAGAGAGAGAATAGGAAAACAAAGAAACAGGGAAAAGGAATGCAGTTAAGAAAAGGGGAAGATTGAGGTAGAAGGGGTGTGTGTTGGGGGTAGTGTGGAGGGGGGGAGGACGTTAACTGAAAGTGGGGACTAGAATGTAAGGGGGAAGAGGTTATGCAGTAGGGGAAGTGAGAGGGGATCTGTGCATTGGTAAGGAGAGAGGGGTTACTGAAGTAGTTAGAAAGGGGTGGGGGTTAGTTACCGGTTGGGGGAGAGGGGGGCTTGGTAGGACCGTGAGGTATAAAGAGGAGGAATATATATTATAAGGAAACAAAGGGGAATAAAGAATAACTTATAAAGAATAAGTTACTATTATTCATTTGTCCAATCTCTTTGTCCAAGATTATAATTAACGCCAAATTAAACTTCTAAATATCCCATAAGGATTTTTTTTTAGCAATATAACGGAATCGAACCAGCGTCCTGAGTCCCTCCAGACGCACACATTATACCCACTAGACCACAAAGGCTTTAAAAGGCAATACAATCTGAAATCTTACAGAAACTTAAGAGGGCACAAAGTGGGTACTCAAATCCAGTTTTGAACCCTTCACTCTCTGTTGTAGGAAATGAAGTTTTTCATCAGTGCTTTGTTCTTTCACCTTTTGGATCTTTTTTAAGGAATATTCTTTATGAGGAATGATTTTTATGAGAAATTATTTTTATGAGAAATAAACACCGTTTCACCACCAAATCTTTATCTACAAAATCAGGTTTAAGGCCAGCTCGTTCTTGGGATTTACAGATCAAATTATCTTGCAACATAACAGGACCGAGAAATTGTTCTGATTGTTTCAAGCGTAGGCTAGACATGTATATGAGCTTGCGTGGGTATAAATAGGAATTAGGAAGTATAGGCCAATAGGCTTTCTGCAGTTGCCTGTATTCTTATGTACTCGGCATTAACTTGTAGTCAAGGAAACCTTCATCTCATATACTGAAACATGCTCTTTTACTACTACAGTTTCCTCGTATAACCTGAACCCATGTATAATTATGTAAATCCTTAATATTAAAGTATGTATTAGTAATACTGCATCATATTGCATAATATTTACTCACTGCATAATATTTGCATAATACTCATTGCATAATAATTGCCTAATACTCATCGCATAATATTTTCAAACTACATAGGCATTTTTTTCCAGTGTCACCCTTTTTTCATCCAATACATACATCATAGTCAAAGAACACTCTCTTATGGACACATACGCAGCATATGAATGCTTTTCATTTTCATACTAAAATATATTTAGCATAACTACTATACTTTCTTTTCACCTTCCCTTCTACACAGATCTATCTCCTGTATGTCTCAGTTCTCTCTCTCTCTCTCTCCCTCCCCAAGCAGCCGGGTTAGACCTGACAACCTTGGCTGTGGTCCCCATCCCTGTGTTTACGTCGGAGCAGTATTCCGTGCGGCAGCTGGTGGAACCCTGTCATCACCCCAACCACCATTCCTACACCAACCACCATTCCCACAGTACCAACCACCATCCTCGACTCAGGCGCCTCGCCTCCTCTGCCTCCGCCAAAGATTCTTCCACCTCTAGACAGCCCAGACGAGCCCACGAGTATGAGGGTGAGTGGGTGAGGTTGTCTATCCAATATGCTAGACTGGCTAGATCGCTGCGGTGCGGTGCGAAGGACTAGGCAGTTTGAATGACTCGTATTTATGTGAGGGTGAGTGGGTGAGGTTGTCTATCCAATACGCTAGACTGGCTAGATCGCTGCGGTGCGGTGCGAAGGACTAAGCAGTTTTGAATGACTCGTATTTATGTGAGGGTGGGTGGGTGGGTGGGTGAGGTTATCTATCAAGTATGCTAGACTGGCTAGATCACTGCGGTGCGGTGCAAAGGACTAGGCAGTTTTGAATGACTCGTATTAATGTGAGGGCGAGTGGGTGAGGTTATCTATCAAGCAGTTTTGAATGACTCGCATTTATTGTTTCGAATTGTCCAGCTCAAACAACCCATAAAATATTTTAAATCCAATATTTTTTCCCGGTTGTCAGGAACAGGAAGCTTGCACTTAGAATTATCGAGGATCCTCTAGGCCAACTACTGACCCTGCTCGGAGTGCAACTGGTGACATTTGCCTAACTTCAAGTTATTTTACTACTAAGTGAACAGAGGCATCAGGTGAAAAGGAAATAGGCTGAACCGTTTGTGTCCTACCCAGGGATTAATCCTGGGTACCTTGGATGCAGACCATTGTGGCTGCATTTGCCAATATGCTAAACTAGATGAGTTGCCCATCTCTAGATGAGTTGCAGATGATGGCAGTGCTCGGGTCTCATTTTCTCTCTCTCTCTCTCTCTCTCTCTCTCTCTCTCTCTCTCTCTCTCTCTCTCTCTCTCTCTCTCTCTCTCTCTCTCTCTCTCTCTCTCTCTCTCTCCCTCTCACTCACACTCACACTCACACTCACACTCACACTCACACACTCACACTCTCACACTCACACACCAATCCATTCCCACTGTGTCTCTCTCCCTCCTCCCTGTTCTCTCTCCCAGTGGACACAACACACTCTAGTAACATGCAATCTACGTTATTGACGATAAATAAATGTTATCGACATTCAGTTTGCATTACTGATATTTAGACAACATTATCTACATTGAATCAACGTTATCGACTTCGATTCAACATTGACAACATTCGTAAAATACGTTTTAACACACTATGTACAATCAAACCCATATTTCATACTTCACAGGAGTCGCAGAACTTCAGAAATGGAGCCAGTCCTTCTTAAAGTGGGCATGGGGGTCGACCCCATCCCTCGTGATACCGAATAGTCATAAACCACCGTTGACATTTGCGTGAGGCTAGCTACAAGCATCTGACCCCAGACAAACATTATTTTCTGACACACACACACACACACACACACACACACACACACACACACACACACACACACACACACATATATATATATATATATATATATATATATATATATATATACATATATATATATTATATATTCAACAAATAAACCTTAACACACACTTCGAATCGGGTTGAAGAGGCAAAATATAACGATTATTTTAATTCTAATCTTTCTTGACCTTTCTTCTTCTTTATCCATTCGTTACATATAATAAAGCTGATTTATCCCTGCAAACTATTAATTTATGAAGAGATTCTGTGAGTTGACTCGGGCGTTAATGGGAGACTTGATTAAAGTGTTCCGTTTGTTGCTTCTAGGAGTGACCCCGGCGGACTCCTGGGCGTCTGCTTCAGCGGTGCTGGGTCGTCGACACTCCTGGTGCTGTCCTCAGGCTTCACTACACACCAAGTACTATCGCACCCAAAACACCCAGACCTTCGTGTCCTCCCACGCCAGCCCCTCTCAGGGGGACGACAACGCCCTCCACACCCAGAGGAACGACCACGCCCACCGCACAATTGAGGACGACCACACCCAGGAAATCGACCACACGGCTAGCGACGCCTGCCCCTACCACCACCACCACCACCAAACTTCCAGCGGCTCTTGTGTGTGTACTAACCCCTACGGTACTGGCACTTACCCCGCCCACTACACCTCAGCACCCCTCACCCACAACACTACCCCCTCCCACACCCGCTACACCCACCAACAGGACAAACATACCGCCTCTCATCAAACCTCCACCTTCCCCTACCATAACCAAAATCTCCAATGTAACCCCACCCGACGCGATCCGGACAATGAGGTTCTCCACGTAGATTTCAACCACACCCATACCCATCACAACTCAGAACCCACGACCCATTTTCTCAGCCCTCATGCCTCTACTCACCTCACCAACCTGGACTTCTGCAACTTTAACAGTGAGGGACATTTCGACCGACATAAAAACAGTCACACGGTTGGACCAGATGATATTAATTCTGTGTTTGTAATTGGTAACAGTTTTATACCATGGGTGGATGGGCCCCGCAGTACTGAAAGTGTCAATGAAGGTGTTTTGAATTCCATAAATTCAAAACCCACTCTGAAACGCAGGGGTTATAAGGATTTGTATTGAACGTGGACGAATATGTAGAGGTAAAACACGTTCTGAACAGATAACTGAAAATATTATTGCCTAAACGGCTTCGTAAAGTGTAAATAGTGAGCGTTTTCGAATCGGGAAAACTGTAGCCTTGCAGAAAAAACAGGGGTGGAACGCTTGTGACAGTTCGTGGGTTATTATTTTGCAACAATTCCGAGGCAGTGAAACAGGTCTTAGAATGTAAAACATGGTGAAATAGTGAAGCAACCCCGAGGCAGTGAAGCAAGCCCATTGCAGTGAAACAAGCCTTTGCAATATTTGTCACTGCTCCCGAAAGATATAATCATGGATTTAACGTTATAACAACGATCCCAATACAGTGATATTCACGAAACACTAAGCTGAACTTAAAACGTAATCACTTATAGACCTGTCACGCACCTGTGGCTTGACTACGAAGAAAGGAACCATTTAAGAATCACTGAACGAATCACGAACCAGTGTAACAGCCCGCAACTAGTCTATTAGTTTCGAATCACTATACTAGTCACAAACGAGAACACCGGTTACGAACCTGTGTACAGACTCAGAACTACTGTGTTCCATTCGGGAACCACTGGACCATTATCGTACCAGTGGTACAACAATGGTACGTTTCAAAACAAAAAGAAAAAAGGTTTAATCACGAAGCTTGAAACTCTCGAGTCTCTGAATCATATTAAAATATACAAAATTGAAACAGACAAATGTACAGAAATACTCTAAACAAATATCCCCTTGAATGGCCTTTCTGTGTAGGTAAATTGGTAATATATATATTGACAAATAAATAATTTCTAAAAGCACATTTATAAGGAAACCCTCAATAGTTTCTTTAGCAGTTCAAATTATAAATAAGTTTTGAGCACATGGCTCGTAAAATAGACATTTGGAAGGACGACTCTGACAGCTTTGAGGAGACGTCGTGTCGTTGGATCAAGGGAGCGAGGAGCACGGATCTCTTCACCCAACAATAGACAAGTGATTGTCTTCATGTCGAGTCTAAAAAATAGTGATTGGAGATAGATGTTTTTACAATCTACGTATGGCTGGGCACTCGATACCATAAGGCTACTGATGTATGTGTGTGTGTGTATACAGTATATACATATGTATGTATATAATGTAATTTTTGAAGGTGTAACATTTGATTGATGTTTTATTTACTTGTTCATTGTGTATGACATCAAAGCTTAAACATTATGTGAGTTGATGATGTTTTCATTTAAAAAAATGTTTACAGGGGATATATATAATATATATATATATATATATATATATATATATATATATATATATATATATATATATATATATATATATGTGTGTGTGTATATCACGAAAATAAATTTATTCTTTATTCTTAATCACATATATATATATATATATATATATATATATATATATATATATATATATATATATATATATATATGTCGTACCTAGTAGCCAGAACGTACGTCTCAGCCTACTATGCAAGGCCCGATTTGCCTAATAAGCCAAGTTTTCATGAATTAATTGTTTTTCGACTACCTAACCTACCTAACCTAACCTAACCTAACTTTCTCGGCTACCTAACCTAACCTATAAAGATAGTTTAGGGTAGGTTAGGTAGGGTTGGTTAGGTTCGGTCATATATCTACGTTAATTTTAACTCCAATAAAAAAAATTGACCTCATACATAATGAAATGGGTAGCTTTATCATTTCATAAGAAAAAAATTTGAGAAAATATAATAATTCAGGAAAACTTGGCTTATAAGGCAAATCGGGCCTTGCATAGTAGGCTGAGAAGTGCGTTCTGGCTACTAGGTACGACATATATATATATATATATATATATAATATATATATAATATATATATATACAGTTTTTTTTTACTGTGTGTGGTCGTGTACAACTCTATGTAATATTCATTCAGTACAAGATAGTGTTATATTTTTGTTTAATTTAACATGTTTACAATGTGTTCACAACCAGTTGGAACCGAGATCGATTCCTGGGCAGGACGGATATGTCTGGGCATATTTCCTTGCATCTGATGCCTCTCTTTATTTAGCCCAGTGCTATGTACCTGGGAGTTATAGCAGACTGTTGTGTGATGCATCCTGTGGAAGGTCTGGCCCACAGGGGAACCTCGATAAGCAGAATTGGCCTCCTGTTCTCGACAATGGAAAACTAATAGATCAAACTTTTAACCATGTATGAATTCACGAGTTTTATGTATAAGTCTCACATTCGTGGGAGTGTATTTGTCGTAAAAGTTTATTTGTCGCCATGAATACATGAGTTTAGGGTTGATGTTCGTTTGCTTGTATAGGATTGTATGTGGTATGTGTATATGTATATTACTGATTGTATAAGACTGTGGTGAGTGAGTGAGTGAGTTTATTAATGATTGTATACAACTATTTGTACAGGACTGTGATTGTACAGGACTGTACGTGGTATAAGTGTATGCCTGGTGGCCGTTTGTTTGTATAGGACTGTACGGGGGGTACAATAATGGTATTAAATACAATGAACCGAATTAATGCTGCTCTTAACCACCGATGTCAGCATCGTTGTGGCTATTGATGATCACCAAAAAAATTCTGAATAGTTTTCGTTGCTAATGTTGAATTTTTGTTTTCATTGTCAACTCATCTTCACTATCATCACCTTCACTCTCTATCGCGCGTTCACCGCTCTTTTACGCAAAAAAGACAGGTTATATTTAGTTGCTTGATGTTGGGCTTAAAGTTTATCGCCCTCTGGAGGGTTATTAAGGCCTATCAACTTCTGGAGGGTTATTAAGGCCTATCAACCTCTGGAGGGTTATTAAGCCTATCACATGGGTTTATCAGCAAGAATATTCGAGTCCCAAACATTGTACAATACTAGAGTAAGCACAAATTGTATATACACCGAGAAGCGCGAGATGATATAAACTATTCGATGTATATATCCCTTAATCACATTGGAGACATGCCGAGTACAGAATATATATATATATATATATATATATATATATATATATATATATATATATATATATATATATATATATATATATATATATATATATGTATGTCGTACCTAGTAGCCAGAACGCACTTCTCAGCCTACTATGCAAGGCCCGATTTGCCTAATAAGCCAAGTTTTCATGAATTAATTGTTTTTCGACTACCTAACCTAACTTTTTCGGCTACCTAACCAAACCTAACCTTTAAAGATAGGTTAGGTTAGGTAGGGTTGGTTAGGTTCGGTCATATATCTACGTTAATTTTAACTCCAATAAAAAAAATTGACCTCATACATAATGAAATGGGTAGCTTTATCATTTCATAAGAAAAAAATTAGAGAAAATAGGCAAATCGGGCCTTGCATAGTAGGCAGAGAAGTGCGTTCTGGCTACTAGCTACGACATTATATATATATATATATATATATATATATATATATATATATATATATATATATATATATATATATATATATAAAATACGACAAGGACCCTCTAACACCTCAGAATAGGGCTCCTTATGCTAATTTCAAAGTAACTGGATGAAACGAAATGTTTGAAATCTTCAGGTTTGTATAAGACATGATTCATCAAGCACACAACGTATCCTTTTCCGAAGCCTGTGCATCTTTATTTATTCACGGCGGGTTAGTTTACATTTATTAAACTGGTTATGATAACGTACAGAGAGGCAGTTTTTAGCATTAATAACCTTGGGTTGCCATTTTTTGTAAACTGATAAACTGTTAAAATAACAGACTAAGCCGTCATGGTCCTAGAACGTTATGCAGGACCAGGCTTTATCATCAAGCATTTACATGTCTAATTACGAAACCTTTACATCTTTCCTCGAACATGGCAGATCAGCCTGTATTTAATAAACAGTTTACGAACTTAGAAACTGTACAACCCCAAGGTTATTTATGTTATAAACAACCTCTGAATCCTTCACAACTCGTAAACTCTTTTTTAATAAATGGAAACACAGCCGCCTTAACTGCCCCATAGTTCAATTATTAATGACCTTTCGGTTTATGCTCGTGCAATTGTTGTCCAATAATCTTTAAAGATAAATTTATAATTTATTCTTAAAGCTTAAATCAGATTTACGTTCGTTTTTTTAATATGAATACGTATTAGATATGAATTTAATATGTTTAATAATTATTATTAATATATATAACGTATAAAATATATAACGTTATATATATATAACGTTAAAATATAACGTATTATGTTTAATAATACGTATTAAATATGAATTTAAGGGGCCTCGTAGCCTGGTGGATAGCGCCCAGGACTCGTAATTCTGTGGCGCGGGTTCGATTCCCGCACGAGGCAAAAACAAATGGGCAAGGTTTCTTTCACCCTGAATGCCCCTGTTACCTAGCAGTAAATAGGTACCTGGGAGTTAGTCAGCTGTCACGGGCTGCTTCCTGGGGGTGGAGGCCTGGTCGAGGACCGGGCCGCGGGGACACTAAAGCCCCGAAATCATCTCAAGATAACCTCAAGAATCAAGATAACGTGACATTTGAAGTTAATAATGATAATTATTAACTTAATATGACATTTGAAGTTAATAATGATAATTATTAACTTAAAATGAATCCAGAAGTTATATTTAAATCAATTATAAAACTATTTCCTCCCCCCCCCCCCCAGCACTAAGCGAACGACGTGACCCCATGGCGGCGGCGGACTCTAAGCGACCGCTCCCTCAATGTTTACATTGACAGTGTGGATGCCCGGGTCCGAGTCATTCCCGTTTATTGGTCTTTTGACACTTATAAAAAGGGGCAACTCGCCGCAAACATGAGTGTAACGCGTATGTCAAGTGATAGTGGCGCCTCGTATCTTAAGAGAGCCTGTAAAAAACATCATTTTAGAGGTGAAAATTTATTTGTTTTTCCGTTCAATGCGCTTTGCGCTCCTTAGACACTCCTCTCTGCCTGAGGTTAGTTCAGTATTTGCGTAACTGCTTGATGATTCCAGGTCCTGTGGCTAGATTCACGAAAGCACTTACGAACCTGTACATCTTTTCTCAATCTTTGGCGGCTTTGTTTCCAATTATTAAACAATTAATAAGCTCCGAAGCACCAGGAGGCTGTTTATAACAATGACAGTTGAATGGGAAGTTTTCATGCTTGTAAACTGTTTAATAAATGTAACCAAAGCCGTCAAAGATCGAGGAAAGATGTACACGTTCGTAAGTGATTGCGTAAGTGCTTTCGTGAATCTGGCCCCACTGGATTCTACGACTGTGAGAACAATTATTGTGAACTTAAACAGTACAGGAGCAAGTGGTAGATGTGGGGAACCACCCTCAAGTGCTTCATAAATGATTGAAAGGCATGTTGCTGAAATTTGAGATATTTCAGAGTTTTCGAGTGAAAATCAAGACGCCCATTAGCTTCTTGACGATTAAGCGCAAAGACTCATCATCTAAGTACCTAAAGGAAGGTTGTAGTGCGAGCTGAATGGTGTTAAAACTTCTCAGCAATCAGTGGGAGGGTTAAGCGCCTTATGCCAAGTAGGATATCATGATAAGCATAGAGTCAATACACACAGATAGCCTAACCATTCCCTCGTATAGATAACAGGGGCAGATAGTCCTGCCTCATCACACTCTTCATTGCTGTTTCTGGTAAGTACAACTGTATTATATTACAAATCTGTGCTATTCTTTTATTTTATGTATTTTGGACATTATTTAGTTTTTCACGAGGACGCATTCTCGCATTATATTATTTAATCTGATGGGCAAATAGGTTTCGATTTACGTAGGTTCGATTAAATCCATGTTTTCAAGAATGTATCTTGGATGTAAATAGAGGAATTACAGTATTGTACTCGGTATGTTAAGGGAACAAGCCAAGCGCTTCAACGTGGAAACTTAATATGCTCCCGTCAGTATTCAGCACAAGTTAGGGGTGAACAAATCCACAAGGGCCGTGACGAGGATTCGAACCTGCGTCCGGGAGCATCCCAGACGTGATGCATCAAATTTGTTCATTTGATGCATCACGTTAGTGTGATCTCTGTGTGTGAAGTTAGGGGTGTTTGTTGATGTGTTAATATCATACGGCGGAGTTTCATGCGTTTTTTTCTCAATCATTTCGTATGAAAAGTAACTGAATGGTATGTTTTGAAATTAGTAATTACATAAGGGAAAGAGAGAGAGAGGAGGTGGTAGAGCGAATATTGAGGAGAGAGAAGGTAAAAAAGCGGAAAGGAAGGCAGGGAAAAGGGAAGGT